CCCCAAAACCCCAAAACCCCAAAACCCCAAAACCCCAAAACCCCAGCTCGGAATGGAACATTGTATACTGGATAAGTTACTCACAACTTATATTTAAATGGCAATAAGAGATAAGAACCGAAGATGGTTTCGAGAGAAAACAAAACTTCTTATCTGATTAGGGAGACATTGCGATGTGCACATGAGGGTAACGTGATTAGAACTTGCTTCCAGAGAGGGAGTAGAAGAGATTTTTGATCTTCTCGAGCTCCTGATGGTAAACCTTGTAATTAGAGATTACGTTTTCATCATTTTTAAAAAAGTCGACTCCGTTTTCCAAAAATAGTTCAAACATCACTCTGAAATATTTGTTCTTTAGTACTGGAGATAGTAATTTATGACTGTATTTGCTTTGAATGTCCAAGAATACTCTTAGCTCTGGTTGATGATAAACATCCTTCTTAGATAGTAGGGCTTCTCTCCGAAACATCAAGGCGCTCATGATCTTAGCCATTTCTTTTGAATTGTCTATTTCTGGGAATATTAGCTTGGAAAACCTGGCCAGCATATTCATAAGGTAATTCTTCTTCTGACTCTTATAATCAGGGATAACATTTTCAAGAATCTTGTGGAAATATCTGCGAATGATTCTGAAAATCGTCTTATTAATAACATCTCTCCTGATCGCCTTTCATTTCTTTTTACTCTCCTCTTTCTTATGGACGCTAGTATTTTCAGGCTCCTTGACCACCTTAGAGGCATTTTCCTCATTGCTATTTGCTTTGTGAACGTTTTGAGCAACTTCTGCGTTCAGATCTTCAATTTGGTTTACTCCCAATTTTTCATGATGAGTTATTCCGGTTGATTCAAAATGTTCACCAATCATACTATTCTCGGTTTTGTTGGGAATTTTGAAAATATCTCTGGAAGTCTTCTTTTGTATATGGTCTCTTTTAACGAACTCAAAGCTATTATCGCTATCTCCTTCAAAGCTGAAGCTTTCATTGCCAGCAATATTACTAAACACGCTAAGTGAGTTTACTCCATTAGTACTAAATGGGTTCACCTGAAAGAAATCCGTGTGACTTATGCCACTAGAAAGTGGGCAAGTATTAGAAGAGCCTGGTAGCTAAAGTAAATGATTAGATACTATCGGCAAAGTGATTCTTACCCTCTTGGTTCGTTCATTTTGGTCAGGGCTTACTACAATAGAAAATTCGTCTACTGCTGTATTAAAGTTCATTTGAATATTTATTACTTAATTGCCTTAGAATTTTGCTTATCTATTACTAGGCTCTTTAAAGGGGTTTTGGGGTTTTGGGGTTTTGGGGTTTTGGGGTTTTGGGG